TTCTACCGCCAGATGGCAACGTATCATTATTTATAAATCTGCTAGTGGAAAAGTTGAAATCATTGCATAAGTCAAAGCACGTCAGTTTAAAAGAAGTCATCAGGCCACAAGAACGAACCCTTTGTAGCTCTCTAATAGCTCTCTAATAGCTCCTGTATGCACAAGTAACTTTTTCGTTAGTCATAATTAGGCATAAAATGTTGATCACTTCTACCAAGGGTAATTGTTATTCTATATATAATTTCATCTCATGTCTACGAAACCCTGAAGAAATATTAATCCAAGTATGAAATCTAGAGGGCAGCGAAGGTAAAAGTGTCAATCGCACAGTAGAATTAGGAGACATGGATCATTAAAACATTTAAATTTAAATTATTAAAAGTACATTATTGAAGATTTGGGAAAGTTTAGAAATGTTTGTTCCTCGTATTAAAAAAAAACTAGCATCTCTAGCTCTCTTTTGATTTTTCGCCCCCCCCTCCCCCCATCCGTTACATAATTGCTTTTGCCCGAGTCTCTCGAAAAGAGCTCGCATACATAGTACACACACACACACACGTATATCGAAATTCGAATTCGCGCTGCGTGTAATATCGTGTGTACATGTATATATAGCCAAGGCACAGTAAAGCGCCGCAAAGAACCGATTATGTATATATGCTACGTCGAATAAGTATACACGTGTATATTTGTACACGCGTGCTCTGCTTCTCTCTCGCTCGTACAAGATAAACTGCGAGTGAGCAAGACTTTGATACGTACATGTAGCTAAAAGCTCTCGGTTAGAATCGAGAACTCGTTGAGGCTCGAGAGAGAGAGAGAGAGAGAGAGAGAGCCCAGCGGAGTTGTGTGTCTGCCTCGCTGCAGCCGAGCGTATGCGCGTGTATAACTCGCTGTACGTACGTACGTACGTGTGTGTGCGGGTATATTGCGGGCCGTGCTCGCCGGGGGGATCGGGGGATTCCCCGGATCTAATCCCTGGGGTGAACGCCTGGCACGAACGCGATATACCACTGTATACGTGTGCGTATACATGATCGACGACGAGAGTAAAAAAGCTCGGCCGTCGTCGCTATGAAGCTTCGAGCTCTCGGTTTGCAAATCAGAACTTGGGAAAGCTCCGCAATCGCAGTTACTCGAGATACGCGTAACGAAACAATTGCGCGCATGCCACTGAGCTGGCACTAGGCTGCTGCGACGAGCTTTTGCGATCGGAAAGAAATACAGAAAAATAAATAAAGCAAACTGAAAGACAAAGGACAGAGAGAGAGAGAGAGATAACGTCGGGCGAGGAAAAGATAATAATGATAAAAAAAATAAAAGAGAGAAGGAGAAAAGAAGCGGAAAAAGCGGAGCACGAGAGAGACCCCGTAGAATTTCATTCTTCGTAAAAGAGAAGAATTTTTCTATATAACGCGACTCGAACATCGCGGGCGCGCCACGCAGATTTAATCCCTTCATTGAGTAAGAAATCACGATTCCCGCCCGGCTGCGCAACAACAATGCATTCATTTTTTTTTGCTATAACGATCCGGGATCGTGTCTTCCCTGACACGACTCTATGCATAGACAACATTATATTCCGACACTTCTCCGCGCGCGAGAGCTTGTAAAAAAAAGTGCATCGTTGCTTGCCTCTTGTGTAATCCCGCGACGCGCGTTTTTGTCTCGCGAGTGAATCAACGGGAGCTTTATTAAAGGTCATCGAGAAAAAATACATAAGGCACTGCTGCAAGCTTAAACATGTAAAACAGTTGGATATATCTCGTTATATGGAAGCTTTTTACGGTAAGGAGCTTTTATGCGCGAATTGCATAACCGCGCGCACCAAAGTTCCGGAAAAATAAGACCAACGAAAAAAAAGTCGAGCGAGAGAGAGAAAAAGATAATTGGACCTAATGCGATTTTAATGCGTACATAGTTAGTCTCTGCTCTGCACAATAGAGAGCTAGGGGTTACATTCCGTAACATCGCGCTTCAATTTTATTACGTTATTTCTTTTTCGTCCGCTCCCATGCTATAATTAGTCAATTTTGGGCGTTGCGCTTTCGAGCTACTCGCTACTCTCTCTCTCTCTCTATTCTTTATGAAAAGCTCGAAGCAGCAGCGTGCGCGATTACGAGCGAGGAGCTTTTTCCCTCAACTAGACACACTCGTTATAAAACTTAAGAAGCTCGACAATGAAAGAAGAGAGCTTTATATATATGTATGTAAGAGGAGGAAGTATTATATATATACCTGCAAGCTCATTCGAACCGGCTCACGGAGTTTTCCATGAAAAGGCACGTATTATTATAAAGCTCGGCTCGCGTCGTCGCCGCCGCCGCCGCAGCCGCAGCAAAACAAATAATAGTTATGAAAAAAAAAAGGCCGCGCGTAGTCTCTCTGCAAGCACACGCACACGCGCATACAGTTTCAATTGGTCGGATATTACACGAGGCTCTCTCTCTCTCTCTCTCTTTTTCACTCACTCTCGAAAATCGATATTACGCACGTGAAACCGAGATATATACAGAGAGAGAGAGATAGAGAGAGCCGCAGTGTGCATACACGGATACATAGTATATACGACGCGCTGCGTGAATTTATATATACCATACGCATAATCCTCGGCAAGGGTGTTTTGTGCTTGCCGCGCGTATCCCCGAGCGCCGGTATAAGACTTGCCTCGCGCGCGTTTAATGTATTGAAAATCCAGCCTGAAGTATTATTCGCTCACTCTCACTCTCCCTCTGGCTGTATACTAGCTCGGCTCGCGCGTAATCCGCGTAAGCCGCTAAACGTCGGCAATTCGTGCGTCGAGGAGCTTTACGGTGCTTCTCCCGTCTGTGTGCGTGCGTGTACTTGATGCCGAGGCTGAGAAAACAATATAATAATATAATATCATCGATGTGATCGTGAACGCGAGCGACTGAGGTTTATATTATATATATATGTACTGGCGCGAGTGAATTTTGTGCTGTTTTTTACACGCGTAGATTACGTGCGACGATGACGATCGAACGGTATTACATTATTATATGGTGCGTACGTGCCCGTATACTCGGGGCTATAATTTAACGCGCGTTATTATCGAGGCGCACAGTTGATTCGATTCGAACGACGACGACGACGGCGAGCTTCGTGCGGCGATAATATGGAGAATATTGCATTATTTTTTTTTTTTTTCGTCGAAGTTTTTTTTCGTATAACATAATCTTTGATATCCGATAAAAGCACTCTACTGTCACGGAATCTCGCCGGGCAATGTTTCACGTGCGTCCGCCTACGTTGATCTTGTATCATCGTCATCCTATCGTACACAAGGATCGTGTCTCGGACGCGGCTAATTCCCGGGCTAAATATCGCGCAAATGGAGTGGCCGAGCGATCGGACTCGACGTGTACGCCTTACACCGCATCAATACTCGAGCTCGAGTTTATATTACATCGAATATGTACACAGAGGCGATTGTGCAACATTGTCATTCCCGAGCAATTGGTAGAAAACATGCAAAATTCGCAGCATACGTGTGTGTGTGTGTGTGTGTGTGTTGAAATACGCCNTTTTTTTTTTTTTTTTGTCATCGTTGTTAACATCGCGCACAATGACGATAATTTCATTTGCGTTTTCGTAAAATAAATCATCGGCGAGCGTGTTTATTTACGCGCGTGTGTGTGTGTGCATATATTTTTTACAGTATCGGAACAGTACGCGCGCAAAAGAGAAAAAGAGAAAAAAAGGTATTACACGACGCGTGCGTTAATTTTTCCAAGAGGCCGGCAGTAGAAAGTTCGCGTATACGCGCGCGAATTTGCATTTGGCCGAACGCAAGTATATACTTTAGTATTATTGTTCTGACAAACTTACGAGATATAACTTATTGAATTTTCTTTTTTTTCGCTGTAAAACTAGGATGCTTATTACTCGTTGCGTAATATATATTTTGAGAGAGGACTTTTCTTACGAAATTCACGCTGTGAATAATATAACGATAATGATGTGATCCCAAAATTCATAAACAAACAAGATGTTCGAGAAGCTCAACCGCTATACCTGTCATCGAGAATTAATTAGTCATTCGTTAATAAAAATCATAACGCACACGATAGCTCGTCTGAATTTATAATATACATGCGTTAACACGCAGATATACACGACGCACGCACAGCCCATGAGCAGTATCGTATTATATGTCATGCATATCGCGCGCGCGCGAGTGAAAGTCCCAAGAAGCAACGGCCGAGCCCGAAAGAGGCCATGGTTTCTGTACCTTTATATACAGCGCTCGGCACAATGACGAATGTCTCGACGGCCGATGCACCTCCCGGTGGCATTATACAACTCGGTGCGCCACATGCACGCTTACAACAACGATGATAATAATAATGATAAAAACAATTCTGGAGTCTCGATGGATTATTATTGGGCGTGTACGCAGGCGTACGTAAGGAACGAGCAACAATGTCAATGATGATAATAGGCTATATGGAAAAAAAAGGACGAGACTCGATTCGTGTTTCGATTGCACAAGTATAAAAAAAAATCTCGTATTTGCAGCGCAATAATGACGTTAATCGGACCACGAGCCCGGTAAAAAACACCGGCACAATATTTGTTTCCCAAAAAACTACCGTCCACAATGTTTTCTCAATTTTTCAGTGTGATTATACAGAGAAAGTGAAAAATAATCATTCGGGAATGAATGAGAAAAACAGCAGCAGCAGCAGCCGCGTAACTCAATTACACGTGCAACGTACATAAGTACGTAATTTACCTCACTGTGAAATTACATTTCGAAATCCGTTTCGAAGCAATTCGCTTCTCTATATACGCGCGGCTCAAGGTCGCGTTTCGCGCGCAGTGAAATATTTAGTATAAATGGAGTAGCATCAAGGAGTTCGCGCGGTTGGCATCTCGAATCAGAGGTAAAGAGTGACCTTTTCCAGTATCGTTTCATTTCGAAATAAATCCGTCAAGTTATATCTGTCAATTTAAGAATTGCTCGTCAAAAAACTCACCAGATCTCAGCGCCAGAACCAGGAAGATGAATATGCCGGTCGTCAGCCGAAGGTGTCGCAACCCCGTCGTCGTCATGATGATGATGATGATGATGCAGTCCGCAGTTCGCTGCTTCGATAAACTCGCTTCTTTCCTCGATCTCACTTTGCACTACTTATTTTATTCTTCTTCTTCTTCTTCTTCTTCTTCCTTTTTTTTTAATTATTATTATTTCTCTGCGTTCGATCGGTTGTTTGTGTGCGTGACATGGGTTTTCGATAACACACACACACACACCCGCGCGCAAGCACACGCACGCGCACGATACGTAGATAGAGATCTTGCGTGGCGCAGCTGCACTGCCGCCGAGCACTAGGGCCGAGGAAACGACACTGCGCTACAACACTGCGGACGATCCGGACGATCGCGTTCGATCTGCAAAAATTCACATGTGCGGTTGCGTTACGAGAGAAAAAAAAAGTCAGAGAGAAAAAGAGGAAAAAAAAAGAGAGACGAGTCCCGCGGGAGGGAGATGCCAGGCTACGAATCGCGTATACGCTGCCGAGCGAGTGAGTGAGTCCCCCCGCGGACGCGCTGCCGGCGCGTCGTCTTCCCTCTTGGGTTATACCACGAGGCCCCGATACACACTCACACACTGACATATACGCGAGGAGAGATCCACTGTGTGCGACCTTCGCGTAATTTACCACCTCCTTCGACTCCGGACTGCCGGCACACATTCGCGTGTATAAGCATATAATATTACGTTATACGCGTATATATAAATGTGAGAGGAAAGTTACGCTTTAAATATGTAAGGAAAGGGCATGAAAAGCAAAGTCGCTGTTATGACGCAGTGGCAATGCAGCAGCACAGCCAATCGATCGCGCGTTTATAATAATCCTTGATGCGATCCGAGGAAGCACATATAATACAATCGACTGCTGCTGCTCCGGACCGACTCGAGATCGTATAGCTATTATTCTTCGATTCCTCGGCGTTTGCTCGAAATGGGATTATATACGGCATCGTTGCTATATACGAACACAAAGCAGCATCAGCAGCAGCGACGCGAGATATTATGGATCGCTCGAGAGAGCTGTGTATAGCTGTATATGTAGTGCAGTTACGTAAGCACAGCCGAGTGCGAGACGCGATCGATGTTACACTACGAGTGGACCATGAATACGCTCGCTGTGCGGTGTTGAGAAAGTTCCGTCAACTTGGCGACCTCGCGCGCCAACTAGTTTTCGAGTGTATATAATTCGAAATAATCCAATCCCCGAGCTCTGGCGTTCTCTGCGCGATTGCTGAAGAGCTGCTGCGAAGCGTCGGATGGTAGTAGTATGCGCGCCGCTCGCGAGAGTTTGGTGACTGCCAGCGAATTACAATTTGTAGAGCGCCGAGATTCTTCTGTAAACTTTTTTCTCCGATCGTCGAAACGTACTTGGAGATAGCTTCTGCTGCCGCTGCCTTCGAGTATTCGATGGAATTATTTGACATTGCGGAATAAGTCGCGCTCGTTCGAGGACGCGTTATATGCACTCGAACGCCGTCTCTCGTATAATAATATAATACTCGAGTTCGATGATGGAAAACTTGTCGCGTGACGATCGCGAGATGAGAGATAGAGAGAGAGAGAGAGAGAGAGAGATTCGCGAACGAATTCCAACCTACTTTTCCATTTCCATTTCATTAATTTTTATGTAGGTGATCGCGTGCTAAGCGTCGTGACATCGACTCGTGTCATCGCGCGAGTATTTATGACGTTTCGTACGATCGTATTTGTAAAAGTCGAGTTTCATCGCGTCGTTATGTAGGATATAAGAAAAGATTTTCTTCGAGTTATCTTATAGCCTATCCGATTTTGGCGCAGTTCGAAAAAAGCTCCCGAGAAAAAGCTCCCTCGAGCTTTCACGGATACACGGACTCGGGTCATACTTAAACTGTCAAGGGGATGGGGACGAACCTCGCTCTTCTGAAAAATGTACTCGCTAGTTCCAGCGCAACTTAGTCGGCCGAAACGTCGACGAGGACGGCTCCGAGCCTCTACGACGACGACGTAGTCGCGTCTTTCCCTGGTCCGCTTACGATGATGCTGCAGACGATGCATGTTGTCGGGCGGTGCCGATGAATCGACGCACTCGCGAAAGAAAAAAATAAAATCAAGAGAAATCGGAGGCGCGCAATTACACCTACACCAGAGACAGAGACAGAGAGAAAGAGTTGCGGAGCGCTGGTGGTAGTTCTCTCGGTCGGTCGCGAACGGACGCGCGAGCGCGCGCGCGCCCCGCAACGACGACGACGACGACGACGACTCGCGACGAGCTACGACACACGGACCGCGTTCGACACCACGGACACGACTACTAGCTAGCACGGCGGCCTCGACCGACCACCACCGGCCCGCCAGAAGAGACGTCGTCGTCGTCGTCGCGCGATCCAACCCCCGGGCACGCGCTAAGCTCATGCACACACGCATACAGCACGCTAGGGCAGAAAAGGCTCCACCCACCGAGCGACGCGCGCATCGCTCCCTACTACCCTCTGTACGCGTACGATGTGCGCCGCCGAGCACATCCACCATCACCGCGAGGCCTTTTCCTCCTCCCTCTCTACCTCTCTACCTACCGCAAAACCTCCTCCTCCCTATATATCGACCTTCGCGCAGAAAGGCAAGAGTTGCAGATTACGCTGTGTGTGTACCGATGCTACTACGTGCAATGTGCTGCGTGCGCAAGCTGCTGCTGCTGCAAGCTCGGCCGAAAACCTCCTCTACATGCGCGCTGGCCAGGGCCGCGCGATGCGATGCCCGCTCGGTTTTGCTCGCTGTACCCCCCCCCGACCTCTATTCGTATAGCAGCGGCAGCAGCAGCAGTGATACGCCATGCCGGAGTAGCAGCATCTTCCAAACCGAATGTTAATCATATTCCAAAGCTGCTGAGCTTTTCTCTAAAATGTGTGTTATATATTTTATCTCTATCTCTTTCTCTTCATTTGCTTGGTTTCATCGACGAGTTTTCCATTTTCCACTATCAATTCCGAAACGTGTATTACGCGAGCTTTGTTCTTTGTATCATCACCTATAAAGTGCAATTCGATTAGCCGAGGTACTGCAGATCGCGTCGACTTTATGACCGGACGACTAATTTTACATTTCGGTATAACATGGTTCGAGATCATTCGAAAATCCACGTGTAATTCTCTGATTTCGCGTTCACTCCGAAGCTAATCGATGCAACGTAGAACGAAGTTTCTATACTGCTTATGCCAAATCTTGATCCGAATAAAATTCGTTTATGTTACACGAAGTAAATCAGAAGAAAAGAAGAGCCAATAAAAATTCCCACGAAGCATTCGTCACACGTATCGTATGCATCAATTTCCTCCATATTTTCTTCCATAATAATAATAACAATAATATTATACTTTTTCTTTCTCCGCTTCGATCTCGCTCGACTGTATTCACGCTTTTGTCTTTTTTTTCTTTCAAGTATATACACATTACTATTCTCGAAGATGTTTTATATCGGGCTAACTCGGTACAAGACTCGCTCGTGCGAAATCGAGATGGCGCGAGGCGCTGAATTCCAAATTAGTTCTCGCGCCGCGATTCCTCTCTCTCTCTTTGTACATAATGCATAATACGAGAAATTTTCAGAATTTTCGTTTCCATCGACTCTCTGTACCTTATTTATACCGTGGTCAATATACAGATATATAAATTGACAATTAGCGATACGAGTCCGCTCGAAAATTTCGTAAGAAGAGTCGAATTCAATTTAAAACTTATCATGCGCACGTTTTGTTTCGAAAACTATAACACACAATCTGTGTCTTCGGAGTCGAGCTTCGGAGTTGCGGTGCTCGGGAGCTTTTGCGTTGGAGAGCGCGGCGCGGACGATCAATACACGGCCTCGACACGGGCACCTCGCTCTCCGCCGAATGCTGCTGCTGCTACTGGACCCAGTCGAGCGTGATAGATCAAAATGCACGCGATAAACATTATAAAATCCGTGCGAAATTCGGATCGTGTATGTAAAGTAAGGCAGAAATTTAGAGAATTTCAGGAATCGACGGTAAATGCAAACAAACCAAGTTGGAGTAATAATTTCAAGATAAAAAATAAACAGTATCGGAGTAGCGGAGAACCGACTCGCATTCTTTCGACGGATTTAAATAGGAGCGCGATCGTATCGAAAATTAAATTTAGCTTCTCATCGAAATCACAATGAGCGAATATTATATCAAAGTTGTCGCGCGCTTTCGAATCTCGATGATTAAACATCCTTGTGTTGATTCGAGTCCTGCGCAAAGAAACGAGAACAACGTTAATGTCCAACTCGTTCACTGAAAAATCATTTTCAATCGGAGCATAAAGGAAATTCAATAATCCCAAAAACCATCTTTAAGCCTCTGCAAATTCTTTAATTCCTCTTTGAACACAAATGCAGATACAGTTCGGTTGGATTAATATTTTTTTCCGCGAGTCGTGATTGAAATGGCGCAGCCCTTGCGCGAAACATTTTAATTAACGACCGAGTAAGGCTTTACAAGAGTATCCACGATGTATCAGTAATTCAGTAATACTTTAAAGGAACGGGATAGCTGTAGTTCATCGAACAGTGTAAAAATGTAAAATTCGTAATTTTTTAATTCCATGCCAGTAAACTGAAATAGCGCAGTTTTGAAGAGAACTTCAATGACGAAACTACTAGATTGTACAAAATTAATTCAATATTCTCATAGCTTGATAGAAATGTGAAACATTAAGAATGGCTTATTTACCAAAAAATGACAATTTAAAATCCGGGTGTTTTTGGCGATTTGTCAAGTATAATTACGTTCCAAATGTTAAGGGCACTTTAAATGACCTGAAAATTGAATTGAACCAGTTTTCAATCGTTATAATTCGATAGTACTACTTTGAACCACTAGATGGCGAATACCCTTTATGTGTAAATCTGCAAGCAGCAAAGTAAAAACAATTGTATAAGTCAGAGCATGGTTTCGAAAAATTCTATTGCATCCAGACCTGCTTTGAGTATAGATCGAAGGCCCACAGGAGACATATACCCACGCGTAGAATAGTTAACCCTCACCCTTGTCCTAAGAACCGCGTGGCAAGGTAAATCCTAGAGGTAACGAGTTGATTCGCACTTTGATTTTTGTGCTCTTTGTGGTTATTGTATGTATTATTTATACTTGACCTACGCATTGAAAATTATTAAATACCAATGCCACGCGATACATTTTGCATCCAAAAGGAATCGCGTGCGGAAACGGCGTATTACTTCATCGCTCATAGCACGCGCCCGACAATACACTCAAAACTGCAAAAATACGATTCGCACTTATTTACCAGAGGCGCGTGATCGTGTGTCGAGATAAATAGAGATATGGAGCGAGAGAGCGAGAGAATTGCGAAGGAGGCAGAAGTTTAATATCCTTTGAGAGAGAGAGAGAGAGAGAGAGCGACACGTGACCGGCGTGCAGCTAATAAACTGGCGCAGCGGCATCGCAACACACACACGCGCACCACACAGGCTCAGGGCACAAGAGGGGGGTTGCTATATAACATCGGAAAGAGGCAGCGAGAGCCGAGCACTGTTGCTCGCTCGCTTACCCACCCTCGCAGCGATACGCGCCTATATATATCATACGATGAATGTATATATCACGGTCGGCTGCGGTAGTACTACGCCGCATGTACTCCACCTCCCTATACGCAGTGCAGGATGATCCGCGAGCAATATTTATTATTTACAAATTGGCTCGTTCGCAGCTGCGTATAGCAGTAAAAAAATGCAATCGCAATCGTGGGTCTACTTAATATTATCATCGTGCGTTATGAGCTGCGCAGCGCCGCACGATCGTACTCGAGACGAAATTGCCGCGTAAAGTCATACCGCTCGAGCGAGCGAGCGAGCTTGGTTGGTGCATGGCAGCAGCCGCGCGCAATCACGGCAGCGTCGTTCGCTGTATAACGTCAGAGCTGCGCTGAAGCTCCGTACCATCCACCATCCACCACCCCCGCGATAAGAGTAGCTGGCGCGCGGGCGCTCGAGACTTTCCCGAAATTCACGCGAGATGTCTCTAAACGACGGTGAGAGAGAGAGAGAGAGAGAGAGAGAGAGTACACCTAGCTACTACGTGCAGTGAAATATATATCGTCGAGAGAGCACTCGATGTATATACTACTACTACTACTAAGGTCGTGCGCGGAGGTAATAGATATCTCTCTCTTTCTCGTTCCTCTCTCTGCACGCCTCAAATTGAAATGTTCCAAGAGTCGGCAGACGCGGTATACAGTCAAGGAGACGATTAATATTCTAATCAACTGGGTATTTTTTTTTTCGAAAGCAAAAGTGTACATGCGCAGCGAAGCTTTGGAATTTTGCGTTACATTTTTTTTTTCCCCTCGGATTTTTCCGTTTTTTATGCTGCATAGAGCGCATCGATGAGAATGCAGAGGGTAAATAAAACATAAATAACGACATTCAAACGATATGCAAGCAACGCGAAGCTTTATATGTGCACGTTCAACATTTATTTTCACGTATATATACATTTATAAAGAGAAAAAGAGAGAGAGAGAGAGAAAAGCAAGGTGAAAAAAGAAAACAAGAGGGAAGGAGAAAGCAACGGGAACGGTTTATTGATTTCTTTTTATAACTTTCAAAACAAGTTTTCCTTTTCCCATTTGCAGCTCTCTGCATCAGCAGCAGCAACAACAACAGCATTTCTCGGTAACACTTTGCACGCTGCATTCTTTATTGAAACTTATTATGCAGATTCGAGTTCGTCACGTATGCGTTTGGGATTTTTTTTGTTTGATGACTCAGGCTCAGGATACAAGAAACAATAATTTACACCATTTAATATTTCAATATGATCAGCCATCAATCGAAGAAAACGGATATATTTTTCCGAAACAGTGCTTTGACTTATACAATTATTTTGACTTTACCACTTGCAGATTAACTTGTGAAGGTAGACTCGCCATCTAGTGGTAGAGGTTGACTTTAAGAAGGTTCCCTCGGGTAACACGCTAGTCAATTGAGAGTTCGCGCAGTAACATGGGTTAAGTTAGCTGGCTTGTCGTCTGCTAGCCCTAAAACGAGCCGAAAAAGTCGTGTTTTCGCGTCTTTTATTAAAAAAATATTGAAAAAACGGCAGGCTACCTCTACTTTGAGACACGGTTTTTGAAAGATAAGAACTTTCTCTACAATTTGTATATAATCATTCCTCTGCGAACTTTGATTTCTTTTCATAAATTGTAAATGTAGCTCAAAAGTTCATAAATTCCTATGTTGCCCATGTTAATTTTCGAAACTTT